GCCGATACTTGTATGCTTACTTATTAACTATTCTTCCCTTTTTTCTCATTCATAAACTCTCCCTATGACTGGGTGACTCCCAGTCACCAGCTAACTTCCCTGATGAAATGTCAGCAGCACTGTTGTGTAGGACAGATGACTCAACTGGAAGATGTTTCACTCTTCTTTATCAGCTCTGAAATGTGTGTATGATAGCTGGATTCCATTTGCATCATGGGCTACGAGGTGATACATACAATAGAAGCTAAGCACTGAAAATGGATGCAGAAAAATGGACACTGGGTTCCTAATGACCTGGAGGTTCTGCCCACATGCAAGTTTCCTTGACATCAGAGAGAGATAAACTGCTTTATTAAGCCACTGTTACTTTGAACTTTCTGCAATATGCAGATGATCCCACACAAAACTGACACAGTTATGCTGCAAAGAAAACCATAGTAAATTCTAAATGTCAGAATTATGGAGGCCACACTCTGAAAATAAGATCAGTTATAATAATAACAAAAGAATACTTTTTTTTTTTTTTTTTTTTTTTTGAGACAGGGTCTCCCTGTAGCCTCAGCTGGCCTGGAATGCATTATGTAGACCAGGTTGGCCTCTATCTCACAGAGATCTGCCAGCCTCTGCTTCCTGAATGCTGGAACTAAAGGTGTGAGCCACCATGCCTGGCTCCAAACCACTGCTTTTAACAGCAGGTTAGCAGAAACAGCTAAAACCTAAGTCCATCACTAGAGGACAGAACACTGCTCAGAAATAGAAACAAGCAGACGGATGAACGAATGAAGTTCTAAGTGCAGCAAGTACAGCCAGCTATTGTGTATAAATAAAGAAATCTACTTAAATGAAACAAAACAAAACAAAACAAAAATGCTTTTTGGTGTCCTGGGGACAGAACCCAAGGCCTTGAGCATGCTAAGCATTAGTTCTACCACTAAGCCGCATCCCTAGACCACCATCCTCCAACCCTCCACTCTTTTTTGCGACAAGGATACACACATACACACATATATCTATCCCAGATTGGCCAACTGGCCTCAAACCACTATATAGCCAAAGATGATGATCTTGAACTCCTTGAACTCCTAGTCCTCCTGCCTCCACCTCCAGAGTGCTGTGATTACAGGGATGATACAAGTGTGTGCTGCCACATCCTATTTTTGCAGTGCTGAGGAATGAACTGCAGTTTTTAACATGCCAGGCAAGCACTCTACCAACTGAGGCCTTCCTTCCTTCCTTCCTCCTCCCTCCCTCCCTCCCCCTCCTTCCTCCTCCCTCCCTTCCCCCCCCTCCCTCCCTTCCCTCCCTCCCTCCCTCCCTTCCTTCCTTCCTTCCTTCCTTCCTTCCTTCCTCCCTTTATTCCTTCTTTTCTTTTTGAGTAGTAGTCTCACTGTGTTAACCTGGCTGGTCTCAAACTTCAGGGCTCAAGTGATCCTCCTGCTTCAGCCTCCAGAGAAGTTCCAACTCTAGGCACAAGTCAGAGAAGCTGACTCGAAAAGAATAGTTTTAAATGATAAAGTATTTGCACACGCATGCCTAAAGAAAAGTCAGGAAGTTCAAGTCTGACTTCTGACAGAGGTAACTACTGGGGAAAGACTAGGGGGTTGCAGCTCGTCAGAAGGACTTGTGCTTGTTTGTATTGTTTGGGTTCTAAGCTAAGAAGACATTCATGTATTGCTTTCATAAATTTTAAATACTTTTTAAGATTCTATTTTTACTGCCAGGCATGGTGGCACATGCCTTTAGTCCTATCACTCAGGAGGCAGAGGCAGGCAGATCTCTGAGTTCAAGGCCAGCATGGTGTACATAGAGAGTTCCAGGACAGCTGGGGCTACAGGGAGACCCTGTCTCAAAAAGCCAAAAAAAAAAAAAATACTATTTTTAATTATGTGTATCTTTATGTGGGTTTGTGCACACAAGTGTCGTGGCTGCAGAAGCCAGAAGAAGGTGTCAAGATTCCCTGGAGCCCTGGAGCTGTAGTTACAGGTATCTGTTAGTCACCATGTGGGTGCTAGGAACCAAACCCAGGTCCTCTATAAGAGCAACAAGTGCTTCTAACCCTGAGCCATCTCTCAAGTCCCCAGTTTTCCCCAGTTTTGTTTTTGTTTTTTAGACTATCTCCTGTATCCTAAGCTGGCTTGGAATTGTCTATGTAACTGAAGCTGACCCTGAATTCCTGACCCTCCTACCTCCATCTCCAAAGTGCTGGGATTACGAGTGCGTGTGCCACCATACTCAGCATTAAAATATTATATATATATATATATATCCCTCCTGGTGGTATTTTTGAATCCCAAAGAACATATTCATATATTACTTGTATAAAATATACATTTTTTTCTTTTAATCCTAGAGATATTTTTAAACTCCAAAGATGAGAGAAAAATATATCAAATGATTCCTGGGGAAAGTTTACTTACAAAAGAAAACAATTGAGTAACTATTGTTTACATATGAAAAGGAAAAAAGACATTTCCCAGCAGCAATAAAGCAGTAAGTAGATTATCCACATACTCTGAATGTTATTCAACAGTATTCTAGCCAAACACAAAATACATGAAGCTTCCATAATTGTGAAGTTTAATACAGCTATTAATAAGGATATCATAAGTCTGATGAGATTCCTAATTATTTCCCCAAACTTGGCAAGTATATACAGGCAAAATGGTAAGTAAAGACTACAGGAAGCCAGGCACAGTAGCACTATAATCCCAGCACCCAGGAGGCTGAGACAGGAGGATAAAGAGTTTGAAGCAATCCTGGGCTACACAGTGGGGCCCCTCTCAACAAACAAACAAACCTCTGAAAGCTGAAGAGAGAGTCTGACTTCTCTCAGCTCACAAACAGGCACACCCTGAGGCCTGGCTCCTTCATCTGAGACTAAAGTCCTCAAGGGCAGAATTTGTCTTTTCCACCTTTGTGTCCCCAATCTTACTCAGTGTCCTTTGTGAACAAGTATTTGGAGAATGCAGTCTTAGAAACTTTGTTTCCCTAGGTACCTGTGTCCATGAGCCTCTTAGTACCTGTAATGATAGCTACTCAACTGATAAAAGACTAAAGGGGTATGCTAAAAGTCCTAGGCAGGGAGGGTTGGGGAAATCATATTTACTATTTGATTCTTGATATTTATAATGCTCATACATGGAATACACATCTCTGAGCTCTATAATAATACAGGTGAATGTTAATCACACAGAATTAGGAGGCTCCCCATCCAAAGGACCAATTAAGAATCCATAAGGGCTGGATACATGGCTCAGCTGTTAAGATCCCCGAGCTACTCTTGCAGAGGACACAGGTTTGATTCCCAGCACCTACATGGCAGTTAACAACTGTCTATAACTCCAGTTCCAGGGGATTGGACACCCTCTTCTGACCTCTGCAGGTACTGAAAGCACAGGTGCACATTTCATATGTGCATACAAAATACTCATACACATAAAAACATACAAAAAAGTAAGTAAATACAATTTAAACCGGGCATGGTAGCCCACACCTTTAATCCCAGACAGAGGCAGATGAATCTCTGAGATCAAGGTCAGCCTGGTCTACATAATAAGTTCCAGGTCAGTCAGCAAGGGCTACAGGGAGACCCTGTCTAAAAGAAAAAAAGGAAAAAAAAAATCAGTGAGAAAACTATCAGTCTAATATAAATCAGGAATAGAAAAATAATAAAGCCTAATAAGCAAGTCAGAGTGAAAACTGAAAGCTTGGCTTGGAGAGGGTGGGGGTAGAGTGCCAGCATACAGGAAGCCCTGGGTTTTCACCCCAGTACCACATAAACTTGATATGGGGCACACACCTGTAATTCCAGCACCACTCAGGAGGTAGAGGCAAGAGGATCACAAGTTAAAAGCCATTCTCAACTATATGTGGTGTTCAAGGCCAGGCTGAGCTATGTGAGACCCTATCAAAAACAAAACAAATAAAAAAAACAGATAATTTATTTTAAGCCAAGTGTAATGGTACAAACCTGTAATCTCAGCATTTGGGAGGCTGAGGGAGGTGTTCCAGCCCAGACTGTGCTATACAGAGAAACTCTATCTCAAAAAAGCAAACAAACAAACAAACAAAAAAGAAAAAAAAAACACGAAGGACTGTAGATGTAACTCAGTGCTAAAGCACTTGCTAAGCATGCACAAGGCCTTGGGTTTGATCCCTAGCACTGGAAAAAAAAATTTTTTTTAAATAAAAAAACATAATCCGGGGAAAATAAACAAATTTCAAATTTAAAAACTTGCATATGTATAAGATGAAATATTTTAAGCACACATAGAAGCCTAAGGGATAATATAATGAGCACTCATGTGCTGTGCAGCCATCATTCCCTCAGATTATTGTGAACACTTTGTCTTTTCTATAAGAAGCAGCACAAACACAAATGGCATGGCTCTGCCCTCCTGCTGGGTAGCACCTTTCTCTTCCTGGAGGTGGACAGCACTATGACTCTGTGGCTTCTGTTCTCAAGACTGTTTTCACAGATACATATACCCATAAACTATATATACTATCACTTTGCACATTTTTAAACATGATAGAATGACATCAGCGAGTATTACTACTCTGCTACTATTTTCTCATTCAACACTGGTTTTGAGACTTATCCATATTCATAACAGAATACTCAACACAGGAAAGAGATCATGGAGAAGGCAAAACCTGACTCCAAAACTGAACAAAAAGAACACCCAAAACCTTGCTGAATTAATTTGGAACTTTAGTTTCCACAAGGTGCCCCTGTATTCCAATTTCCCTGGTCCTTCAGAAAGCCCCAACCTGAGGGCTGAAGGTGCTTTCCAACTCTGGGCAGGCCTAAGTCAGAGCACCTTTGGCAAAAGAGCTCTGTGAGGTGCCTGGAGTGAGCGAAAGAGATGCAGATGCCATTTCTTCCCAGCTCACCACCAGGATGTTAAGCCAAATTCTCACTGAAGAATTTTGAACAATATATGCCCTTATACAAAGTTTTGTTTTGGAAAAGAAAATCCTTTGAAGGTAAGACTTACAATTGGTGTCCCAAAAGGAATGTAACCTGTGGGTGGAAAAAGAAAAGAGTCAGGTCTCATGAACCATCCACCTCTCACAGAGATACTCAGAAGCCTTCAGCTTCCCCTGGCCCATGGCAAGGGACTCAGGACAGTCACAGGGAAGCAAGGGGGCCTTCCCCTGACTCAGCTCTCCCCACAACAGAGGGCTCTCCATACCCCCAAAGTCTCCCCACCTCTCTGTACCTCATCTGCCAGACAACTCTGGCTCTCCTCCAGAACCCAGAGGCTGGCACCTGCAGGTAGCAACAGCCTACTGCCTGTCACCAGTGGTGCTTGCCCCATTTCCTCTAAGAAGGCACAATGCCCCACCCCGACTCCCTATGGTTTATCTCCCAAGAAGCCCAGAATGTCTTCCTTCTTCCCTTAGCCTCTTTCACTCCTTCCACATCAAGACCATTCCTGGCAAAGGAATTCCTTGCCCACCTGAGACACCCCTAGGTGCCAGTGCTCTGGCTGGTCAGCCTCAGGGGAGCAGCAAGGAGCTGGGTGAGGAGTGGCCAGGTCCTGGGTACTGTCTCTCCAGGCTTGTGGTCCCAAGACAAGGCTCCTGCCCTCTGTCCATGGGCAGCCTCCTATTCCCAGCCTCTGACTTGTAGTGGTCAGTCAGCTGATAGCTGAGCACCAGGGAGCACGCCATCTGAGTTTCAGGGAGAGCCCAGGTTCACATCCTGAGCACACACAGCTTTATATGCTGGTGTCGTGGCTCTCCCGCTCCTCCATCTGGGGACAGGGCCAAATTTTGGTAGGGGGTGGGGGAGCCTCAGAGGAATGAATGCCTCAGAAAGGTCTAGAATTATAAAAGAAGGCAAGCTGGGGGTGAGAGCCTGCCATTTCTGGCATAGGGATAGGGAAACCCAGGTCCTCGATATTCAGAGCCTTTGCTGCTCAAGCTTTCCACCACAAAGCCAGGGTTCCTGGCATGATGGTATCACATGACTGTCTCCTGGTTGGTCTCCATAAAGTCAGGCTGGGGAAGAGGGTCCTCCTTTCTCCAGTCAGGCAGCAGGCAGTAGTACTTCATACCACTCTTGTGAGTTGGGGTAGGTAAAAATTAGCAAGGACAAGAACAAGGGACAGTGGTGTGTGTGTGTACGTGTGTGTGTACTGCAGAGTGACTTGGGGCAAGGTCTGTAACTTCTCAGAGACGAGGGCAGGGCCACCATCTCAGCCAAGCAAATGTTCTAAGTCTTAAGGTTCAAACACACAGAACAGTCTTTGAGGAGCTCCTGAGTGCTGGCTTCCTGAGGATGGGCATCTTATAACCCCTGTGCACAAGGCCCCACAAAACACAACCCCACCTTGTCTGTTCATAGTAGTGCACACTGAATACGTCTGTCCAGAAGGAAGGGTTAGTTAACAGCAGGATCTGAAGACAGCCAGTCAGTCTAGATGCTGTGGCCCAGAATGGGGAGCAGGCAGTGAGTAACATGGAGGCTGCCCTTAGTGTGGAGTGTGTGATCTGGTGGAGGCCCAGATCCACTGCAGAGTCCACTGGCCTAACCCCAATCACTCAGGTTGAAAAGACAGGCAGGTGCATGCCTGACCAGCGTCTAGCATGGCTGAGCCAAAGTGAACATGTACACAAGAGCGTGGCTATGTGTGTGACAGGCCATGCCCTCCTCAGGTGGTATGATGAGCTACTTCCAAACTGAAATATGTTCTCCTGGAGGGAGGAGGGGGCTCATAAGACTGAGGAAGTCAAGGAAACTTAAAGACTCAGCAAGCTGAGAGTGTCATATGGTTCTTGAGGCTTCTCTCCAAGGTCATATAAGCAGTAGACTTGCTGGGGGCACTCTGGTGGAGTTCCAGGACCATAGCTTTTGTGACTTGTCACCCATGCTGGGGTAGGTTTTTGGTGATAGAGCTGCTTCAGAGTTACCATGCTCCTTTAAGTCACTCCAATAAACTCAATGGTCCACCAAAAACCTTGTGGAATTGTTTCTTTGGTCTGCAGTCAGCACCCTTTCTGAGGTAGATATTTATTCAGTCTTCCCAGGAAAGTCAGAATATCAGGGCATGTGGCCACTCCTGGCTGGGACTACAGTCAGAACCCCAGGCTAGGCAGAACAGGAGGGTCCCAGAAGCTTACCTGACATTCTAAAGGGCATGAAGATCTTCTCATTGGTGTCCGGGTGTAGGATAGCCTGGCAGGAGGGAAGGGCAGAGAGAGGGGACAAGCAGAGGTGTTAGGAAAGAGGGAAAGGCAGCTTCCCCCAGAAGACTCTCCTGACAGTGGCTTTGTGCTGCCTCTGGCAAGTCATTCTTTAAGGAAAACTCGAATACAGAGCATGATCAGTATTCTCCTTCTGATAGGTCCTCAAAGAGCATGGGAGCCAAAAATGCATCCACCTGGCAGGCATTTTGCCCCTGCCTGGAGTCCAGTCTTTTCCTAGAACTCCCAGAGTGCCCAAGTTGAGGCCAGCCAGGCCAGTACTCCAGCCTTCAGACACTCAGGCTTTGGGGTGCCGGGTAAAGGAATGGGTGGAGTAGCTGGGACAGGCAGGCAGGGAGAGGGTGGGTACCCAGTAGCCATGGGACATGGGGCTTCTGCTATGTTCCTGGGACATGGAGGGGAGGGGTCCCGAAAAGCACAGAGAGAAAGAGAATTGAGAACTAGATTACCTGCTTGATTTTTTGTGCACTCCAGAGCTAGAAGAGAGAGAGAAATAAGAATTAAAAGCACATAGGAATTTAAGGTCTCAGAGCCATGTTTTGTCTTGTCTTTCCTTTCTTTCTACAGGATCTCATATAGCTCAAATTCAATTATGTTACCAAGGATGACCTTGAACTCCTGATCCTCTCGTCTCCTCTTCCCAAGGGCTTGGATGATAGGTGTGCACCATAATAGCACAGGATTTTCGAATCAAGGAAACATGGTAAATGAGTATCAACAAACCAGAGGCTGGCATGGTTTTAACAGAGCAGGACGGTGTGACTAGGAGAGGGCACCAGCTGCTGATGCTCAGGGCACAGTAGATAGCCGTTAGGCCTGTTTATGTAGCTACACTGGTTCCCTGGAGTATAAACTAAGTTGCAGCAGTAATGAAGACTACCAGATAGCAAAAAATAGAATGCATCCCAAAGCTGAGTCCCCTAAACTGTCTAACAGCTTAAGAATGTTTGTTAGCATTTCAACCATGACTGACTGCCATTCTGAAATAGCAAGGTGAGAAGCAGTGGATTTTTCTTCTATTTTCATGTGTGTACGTGTGGTACCACATGTGTACAAGCATGTTTTGCATGTATGTGGGCACACATGTATATGTATGCATGTGTGTGCATACATGTGGCAGCCTGAGGTTGATACTGGGAATCATTCTTGATCACTCTTCTATCTTATTCAATGAAGTAGGTCTCTCAATCAAACCCAGAGCTTATCAATATAGCTGGTCTCCCCAGCCAGCTTGCTCTGGAGATCCCCTATCTCTTACCTTCCAAGGCTGGAATTACAGGTGGCCACCACACCCACTCAGCATTTATATGAGTTCTGGGGATCCAAACTCTAGTCCTCGCACTTGAGAAGCAAGCATTTCAACCACTGAGCCATTTCCCTAGCCCAAGAAACAATAGCTTTAATAATAATAGTAATAGCCAGGCATGGTGGCACACACCTTTAGTCCCAGCACTCAGGAAGCAGAGGCAGGTGGATCTCTGTGAGTTCAAGACCAACTTGGTCTATATAGCAAGTTCCAGGCCAACCAGGGCTATATAATGAGACCCTGTCCCAGAGACAGAGACAGAGAGAAAGAGAAAGAGAGCGAGAGAGAGAGACAGACAGACAGGCAGGCAGAGGCCAATGAGAATCATCAGGAGCACAAAGGTGAGAACTTCATAGAACAGGAGAGAAGCAAAGGGCCAGTCCTATCTGCTCACTAAACATCTTTTTGAAGTCTGGGCTCTGGTCCAGTAGGATATCAGGCCCTACAACCTCCTAGGACCACACCCTCCACCCTATCATTTCCTCCCTTTCTGTGTTCTCTCACCTGTGTGTTCCCAGGGATGCATCTTTAGGGATGCAGGCTCTTGTTTTCAGCATTATCTACTTCCCCCTCACCCACAGCGCCTAACAAAGAGAGAGTACTCAATAGGCATTTAGAGAAGGAATAGCATCTTGTGAAACAGATCTGGTTAGAGCTATGTGTGGTGGTATATACCTGCAATTCCAGCATTTGGGAAATAGAGGCAGGAGGATCAAGAGTTCAAGACCAGCTAGGCTACATAGACCCTGTCTCAAACAAACAAACAAACAAACAACAAAAAAAAAAACAAGCAAACAAACAAAAGATCAGGTGAATCATGGTGGAGTAATGCATAGGTTCCTCTCAGTAAAAGCCCAGCAAAGGAATAAATCAGCTGAAAATCCTACTGAAACAGAAGGGAGCAGAAGCAGAAAGGCAGTAGCACAGGTTCAGAGCACAGAGAGCTGAGGAAGTGATGGCCAGTGCTGAGGAGGGAGGCAGTGTGCCCCTTATGCCCAGAGATAAGCTCCATGGGACACAAGCATGTTCAGCTCTGGGCACCAGATGTGATCCATGGTGAGGTCATATAGCAGAGAGGCCCAAAGCACCTGCCAGGGAGCAGGAAGTTTGTTCTCCAGAGGAATGAGAGTAATCCAGATGTGGGGTCACAGGCATAGGAGAGCAGTATGAAGGCCTGAGTCCTGCACAAGGGATTCACAGACACTTCCCAGGGCACAGCAGAGAAGTGAGTTGAACCCCTTTCTCTAAGAAAACAGAAAGGTTGAGAAAGAACCCATGAAGAAGCCCAGGAGGACTGCTATCAGCAGTGGGAAAGGAAGCTCTGCTCTGCAGGGCTCCTGCTGGGACTGCTGTCTTTTGGTGGCTTATTTGTAGGTGATGGGGATTAATCCCTGGGCCCTGCACTTTCTAAGCAAGTGCTTCCACTACTGAGCTCCATCCCCACATGATCCTGGTCTTGACTCTCTTTGAGTTCCTCTTCCATAAGTGAACAGTGGTAGAAGACAGAGCAAGTACTAAAGGCTGTGGCTTCTGTTCACCCACGGTCTTGCCTCCCATTACCTCCTGCCACTCTGTTGGACACCTGCTTCACAGTGACCTCTGCTATCCTCCATTTCTGGCAGACAACTGGATGCAGGGACCAAAGAGAAGAATGAACAGGCTCATGCACTGAGGCCTGGGGCAGGGCTCTGGGAGCCTCTGAGGGCTGCACTTGTTCAACATTTGTCCCCATGGTCAAGAGAGGGTGATCTTAGGCAGCAAATAGAAAACATCTTGCCAAGTGCATGTTCATATGCATGGGCAGGGGTGTGGGGAGGGAGAGGGAGGGGAGCAAGGAAAGGAAAGGAAATACGTCATAGAAGAAAAGGGAAAATTAGCTTTGTTTCCTCCTCTTTGAAGAACGGCCATACATTTGTATTTTGCATTGAGCCCTGAAAATGATGAAGTCACTCTGACTACAAATACATATTTGAGCTGGGCATGGTGATGCATACTTGCAATCCCAACAGCTCAAGAAGTAGAGGGCAAGAGGAGTTCAAATTCATTCTCAACTCAGGCGTTCAAGACCAGCCTAGGATACCCGAGTCTCTTATTTCAAAAAATAGAACACACTGACGTTTGGAATACCTGAATGAAAAAGATCGTTACTCGGTGCACCTGAACATGCTTGGAAAAAGAACTCAGAAGAAACAAGACTACTCAGGAGCTAAAGAGAACTTCTGAAAGACAGACAGGAAAGGACAGGATGCTGTCGGAACTGGGAGGGGACAAACTCTAGCATTGCCACTTCCTGGATGGGAGGACCTATGCAAAGAGCTTTGCCTGTGTGCCTCAGTTTCTCCATGGGCACAGTGGGCTGCAGTAGAGTTAGGGCTGTTCACTTTGTACTTCCTGGCTTCCCTCTACAATGGGGCAGGATGGGGTGCTCCTGGGACTGGGTGCCCTGCTAGAGCACTGTGGGTAGGAAAGATCATTGCTTCTCTGGCTCCAAAGTCTCCCACTGAGGACCTGGAGGAGGACAGAGAGGCACTAGAAGACAGTAAAGTCACTAAGAAGAGGGGCTTGGTCTCTGAAAAACAGCATATGCCAAGTTTCCAAACTGCACTGGTTTCAGACATGAGTGGGCCTTACTGAGAGAAGAGCCTGAAATCTGGGGCTTATTTGTTATGGCATATGACTTAACCTGACAAATACAGAGAGTTAAATTATAAATGTATAAGTGTTTGATTTACTGAATGGAATTGGTATGGTTGCCTAAAACAGGGGAAGACATTTAAGCAAGCAGATTTTTATTTTATCTTTCTTATTTATTATGTATTTCTTTATTTATCTTTGTTTTTTGAGACATAGTCTTGCTATGTAGCCTAGACCATCCTGGAATTTGCTATGTAGACCAACCTGACCTCAAACACACAGTGATCTTCCTGCCTCTGCCTCTTGAGTGCTGGGATTAAAGGTATGTACCATCACACCTGGCTAAGTGAGTTTGCTTTTTAAAGATTCAATCATCTACCTAAGCAGCTTAGCCTCTACTGTCATATTCCCCAACATGTCTTGGGGGGGGGGGGTTCAGTTTAGACAGTGCAACTCATCTTAGACAGACTGAGTAGCTTAGCCTAGATCCTAGAGGTCTGGTGGCAGGACAAGAGACCAGACCCTGAGTAGATCAGTGTCTGAGGTTGGCCAGATTGACTGCCAGGTCTGAGGCTCCAGAGGAAGGAGCAACTGCATCATCCTGTGGTTGGTCCCACAACACCCCTTGCAGCCTGGCATCAGGTGCTCATCAAAAGGGCCTCCATCCTCCTCCCCTGCAGACAACCAGCTCAGCAGCACTGCTCTGAGAAGCCAGGGCTGTGGTGTGTCCTCAGAGTCAAGAACAGCCTCTACCTGCACCAGGGGGTAGCCACAAGGCATCAGACAGATGCCAGCTCCATAGCAAAAACAGGAATGAAGAAAAGGAGGCCTGGGAAGGCCAGGGGTAGGAGCCCACAAGACCACGGTCCCAGCCTGCAAATGACACCACCCAGACCCCAGGCAGGCCAGGGCCGTAAGTGGCAGCTTTTCTATTTTGCCCAGTGCTTCCCTCCCATGAACTATTTATCACTCTCAGAAACCTATTTCTACAGGACAGATGAGAAAACTAAGCCTCCCAGCCATGCCCAAACTTCCAGGGATGGCCCAGAGCCAGAGCTCATGACTACGTGCCAGTTCATCCCCACTCTTTCATTCCCGATCAGTGAGCACACACCCTGTGTCCCTCCCTCTTCTAAGGACTTTGTACGTCTCCATTCCTTTAATCCCCTCAGCAACCCCAAGTCTATCTCCCACTGCATAGATATGGAAACTGAGGCACAGGGAGACTTGCTCCAAGTCCCACCTCAGTGCAGAGACTGCACTAGAGCAGCCTGGCTGCAGGATTCAGACAGAAGTGTTACCCTCCTCATGCACCTCTATCTATGGTATTCAGATGTCTGCATGCTGCTTTTTTTTTTTTTTTTTTTTTTTTGAGACGGGTGCTCCCTGTAGCCCAGCTGGTTGGACCTCACTATGTAGACCAGGCTTTTTGAATTCACAGAGATCCGCCTGCCTCTGCCTCCCAAATGCTGGGATTAAAGGCATGTGCCTGGCATATTTGGTTTGGGAACAGATGGGAAGAACACCTTTATTTTC